CATGGGGTTCAGCGTTCAAGGCTTCGGGGTTTCCGAAGGTCTCACTATCATTCTTCCGGGTTGCGGTTGAAAGTCCGTAACCCACTTGATTGAAGCATCTGCGGAGCTTGTACCTGCCCTGAACACTGAAAACTGCTTTGCAAGGCGTTGTAGGGTGATAAGGCTTTTGGGGGGGGTTCCAGTTTTCAGGGTTTCCTTCCCTCCCCGAATAACCCAACAAAGTACAGGGTTGAAGCTCAGAAACAGCACTGAACTATATGAGCCCACAGAAGCTATTTGTTGTGTATCCCTGAATCCTAGACCCGAAACACTGAGTCAACTGACGCCTTCCGGGATCAGCGTGGCTGCGACTCGGATGGCTGCAGTGTCCTTGACGCCATCCACATCAGCCTTCACGATGTAATCCTCAGCTCTGCAGGCAATATGTCTGTAGACCGCTGGGTCGTAAACTTCCCTATCCTATAGTCATGTTCACAGGCAGGTGCTTCAAAATGTCGCCAGCACTTCCCAACAACGATTGTAATTGCTTCAAATCACACCAGCACATCCCAACACCGACTTTATCCCAATCCTGGCCGACAGGTTCGGTTGCTTCAGTTGGCGCCAGTACCTCCCAACAACGCTTTACCCCTATCCTGGCTGACAGGTTTGGTTGCTTCACCTCCCCAAACCGACAACCCGGGGTGACAAGTTTGATTGCTTCAAAATCGCGCCAGCCCCACTTTACCCCAATCCTTTCTGACGGGTTTGTTTTCTTCCAAGCAGTGCCAGTATTCCCAACAACGACTTTACCCCAATCCTGGCTGACAGGCTTGGATGTTTCAACATGGCGCCAGCACCTCCCAACTCTCCCACAACGACTCTACCCCAATCCTGGCTGGGTGGCACCAGCACCTCCCAACAACGATCCCAACAAGGACTTTCACCCAATCCTGGCCGACAGGGTGGGTTGCTTCACCTCCCAAAAACGACTTTACGCCAATCCGGGGTGACAGGTTTGGTTGCTTCAACATCGCGCCAGCCCCACTCTGAAACGGTGCCAGTACTTCCCAACAACGACTTTGCCACAATCCTGGCTGACAGGTTTGGTTGTTTCAACATGGCGCCAGCAATTCCCAACTCCCAATCCTAGCTGGGTGGCACCAGCACCTCCCAACAGCGAGCTTTACCGCCATCCTGGCTGACAGGTTTGGTTGCTTCACCTCGCAACAACGACTTTACACCAATCCTGCCCGACAGGTTTGGTTGCTTCAAAATGATACCAGCACCTCCCAACAGCGACTCTACCCCAATCCTCCTAACAAGCTATGCTTGCTTCAACATGTCGCCAGCACTTCCCAACAACGACATCACCCCATCAAAATAATGCCCAACACCTCCCAACAGCGACTTTACCCCAATCTTGGCTGACAGGTTGGTTACTTCAAAATAGCGGCAGCACCTCCCAGCAACGATTTTACTCCAATCCTGGCTGAGGCGTTTACTAATCAGAGGCCTAGACTTCCCATGAAAGGTCAGGGCAGATATTTACCCAGACCGTCGAAGGATCCAAAAGGTTAATACATATATATATATACATATATATATATATATATACAATGTATATATATATATACAATGTATATATATATGTATATATATATATATGTGTATTTATACCTTGAAGCAGGCTCTAGCGCACGATAGTTTTTTTTTTGGGGGGGGGGTGCCTTGACAGGCCCTGGGAAGCCTTTTTTCCAGATCCCTTGTAAACACGGAGCAGAACCCCCCAACCTAAAGACTACTGCATCCCAAGTAGAGTCACATACACACGACACTAGATGTGTACATCACAGGCAGGAATCCTCCACCTTCCGCAGGCCAGGCAAGAAGCTCGCCCACTGCACAGTGCAGGAGGCGATTTGCTCGCTCTCCTCGCGGCCCTTTCGGTTCATGACTGAGAAGCTGATCTCCACGGGCGTACCCTGGCATTGATTCGGAAGGGCTCTGTGGCTTGGGAACCTAAACCTAACCCCAGACTCTCAACGGAGAAACGACGCGTTATCAACCCTCGCTATCTGCTCAAACGCCCTCTGAAAATCTGACACTCAGCCCTGAAACCTCATGCCATCAAGCCCTAAACACGGTTTGGTCCTGGCCTTTCCCTCGTAGGGCAGCTGAAACTTGGTTTTCTGCCACTTGGGGTTCCTGGATTGTCGAGGAAATTGAACGTTCTCTTTTTCGGGAGGAGAGGGCATACTGCAGCGGCCTGAATCATGGGAGCAGGGTTTGGGTGCATTGCGCACATACATTATATTAGTAGCCGTAGGGTTTCATGCTGAGTTTTAGGGTGCAGTGCTTCGATGCTTTTCGGCCTGTATAGTCCATAGGGTTTCACACGGGGTCCATCGCTTAGAGCCTCGGAGGCCTTTTTACGAACCGCACCGGTTTCTTATCCTTCCTGCAGAAACTGCAAATCTATGAAAATGAAGGCGTCCCAGCTTCGTGGCCCCGTCGACGGTGTCCGTGGAGAACTCCTCTCCACCATAAGTGAACCTCCGGTTCATGGTTTAAAATTTCGGATCCTGAGTTGTCCTTTGGACTAGGGCCTAGGGAGGAGCATCCCAAACCCTGGCCCACGGAACTTTAAAAAGCAAGAGACACCCTGCTCCCCGCAGACCGGAAAGCTACAAGACCCCGGAAGCCGAAAAGGCTCGAAGCCCTAAGCCCTGAAGCCTAAACATTCAGCCATAAGCCCAACCCAGCCCTAAACCCTGATCCTCAAACCTCGACCCTGAGCCAAGCTCTACACCCTCAGCCCTGCAGTTAAACTCCGCTACGCTCTCAAGCCCTGTAGCTAACTGTCAATTGCGGACATTATTATCAAGCCCTCAACAAACCCTTAACGCTACATCCTGAGCCCTAAACTTCCTAAACCCTGCCTAAACCCGAAGCCGCCGAAGCCCTAAACCTCTAAGCTTTAAACACCTTGGACCTTGAGCCCTGCCAAACCCTGAAACCTAAATCCTAAATCCTGAACCCTAAACCCTGAGCTATGACTACGGCAAAGGGCACCCCTTGAGGCCATGCGGTGCATACTTTTCCAATAGTATACAATCCTAAACAATTAGCAGAGAGTTCCTTTCTAAAGGGGTCCAAAGGGGCTACAATCCCCGAAATAGTGTTAGTAGTTATTTAGGCGACTACAGTATGAGTGTGTGTGTGGGTGTGTTGCCTGTCATTTATATTGTGCCAATACTTTTACACTACCAACATATTCCCGGCACTGCAAAATTTTCCAATCTCTGTGGGCTGCCCCAATATCGCCCAAATGTGTCGGATCGATGTTTCCCCCATGTGCTACTGAACTTGGGCTTCTGCCTTTGAGTCAAAATGAGTAATATACTAACCCTCAACAAGTTTTAAGCATTACTTTCTCGTGAAGTAGTAGCCTGGTCGAGAAACCCTGACCATAAACCCTGTAGAGCCTGAACCCTAAGCCCTGTAGACCCTAAAGCCTGTGGACCCTAAGCCCTAAACCCCGTATGATCCCCAAAAGAACTGGATCCAGACTAAGAGCCCCAACGAGGAGAATCCGAACATATCCGAACCTTCAAAATCAGTTTCATGCGTTGTCCTTTCATAGTACCTCTACCGATCTGCCAGGTTCTTTGCTAGGGAAATCTCAAAAGGGCACTGGGGCTACAAAATGCTTTGTGAGCAAGGAGCTTTGCAAAGCAGCAGGGCTTCTTTACGAAGAAGTGACGCCCACAAAGAACTTCAATAACCAGGGGCATGGCTGCTCACGAAACCCAAAGACAGATGTGGACTTGTCCAGTTTCCGAAGCGGGCCACAGCTTTGGGACCACTGCTCCGAATAGGCTAAGGGTGATTTCTTCGCATAGTCTTCCACCTCTTACCCTCAGATAAAACCAACTCAGGGAGACCTCGGATGGGGTCTTAAACCGCCTGTCGCATCATTGGAATGTTGGCTGCCTCTGTACCCTCTGGTTACCATTGGCTGGGTGGGAGCCGAAGCTACGAGAGATCTGAGAAGCTGCCAAACGGCTGCGGTACCAGATCAGGTCGATATCTCTTCATGAGGAAGTGTAATGTAGGGGCCTTAAGAATTAGAAGTTGGTTTGGGGGTATATTATGTTACACTTGTGATGAGGAACACCCCCAAAAAATCCTATTTGAACTATTAAGGCCCCTACAGGAGTCCTACTGGCCGAGAGAGCCTTTGCGGACTTTAGGGTTTAGGGTTGCTTCTAGGGCTTAATTAGGGCCCTAATCAGATCTCCTGGACCTTGAACCCTCTACAACCCTGAACCCTCTAGAGCAATCCCATCTCAAACCCGTGCTCCGCGACCGAATAAGTCCAGCAAGGATCCGGGAATATGCTGACAGACGCTTCCTACAGAAAAGTGTGCAAAAGCTTCGGGCTTCCTGTGTCCGGCTTGCAGTGTCCAGGGTTGTGGGGATTTGAGCATTTGATCTATGTCTACAGCTGAGGTCGCAAATCCCACCCAGCAAAACCATATCAAGATCATCGTTTTATGCACCCTTGAGGCCCGCCGACTTTCATCGCCAGTACATCAACTGCCTCCTTTTCGAATTTCCCAGCAGGAGCCCCTCGAACATCAAAACAGTGAAAACCCTAGGCGTGCATTCCGTGTCACGACACGACACCCCGATCAAAACTTGGGGTTCAGGGTTGAGGGTATATGACAAAAGCTAAATCCTAAAAAACCCTAGTCCCTAAGTTTTATACTCTCGCTGGTTTTCCACAATAAGAACAACACACTATCTAAACGATCCCTTTAAAGCTACACCGAAGCGTGGATCTCTGCAAAAGCCCTTAGGCCTTCCATAAAGCTCTACTAAATGGGTGGTTGTCAAAATTATGGTCCCTTTTTGGATCCCTAATATAGTACGGCACCTAATATTTAGGGTACCTAAAGAGGGACCATAATTTTGACAACCACCAAATTCTAAACCCTCACAAAACAGAATGGGACCTTGCCGTGGGGACAGGGAGGTCCGCCGGCGATGACCTCAAGGCTTCGAACTTAAAAGCCAGGGGTTTTAGGGTTTAGGGTTTCGGGGTTTAGGGTTTCGGGTGTAGGGTTTCGGGTTTCGGGCTTAGGGTGTCGGGATTTAAGGGCGTTGGAGCTTCGAAGGTCCAGCCACGGATTGGGACGCCTGCTTCATAAACCCCTTTCCCTTAGCAAGGCTTGCAATCGAGATCCGAATATAAAGGTCCCATACTAGAAGGTGGGTGAAATAGGCACGGGGCTACATTCGCTTAACCCCGAAAGGAGCATGCACAGTAACATGTAGGCGAATGTTATCAAACTGCTATCATTGAAGCTGAACTTCCAGCACTTCCTACATCCCTGTTGATGGGAAAACCCGACGACCCGCCCTACACTGCCCTTATTAGCCGGACATCCTATCCTAACCTTAACCAACACCCAAAACCTCTAAACCGTACCGGCCCAAGATACTACCACGAAACCAGAACCGGAAACCGTCGAGAAATACTCCCAAGCCCAAAGCCGATGAAAACCCTAAGCCGCCAAAGCGTATAAGTCATATGGGAGTTTCGGAACATTAGGGGTACCGTATTTTGGGGTCCTTAAAAAAAGGGTCCTACTATTTAGGGTACTATATTAGGGTCCCCTATTCTCGGAAACCCCGCCCATGTACATGCACTGAACCCCCCTTGCCCAGACCATCCCGGCTGGGCCTCAATCCGTTCAAGCAGCTAAACCCGAAAAGCCGAAGCTCCAAAAACAAATCCCACGAGAATCCGTGAACCAAAGAGAACCTTGCAAAGGAACCCTGACAGGCACGCCAAATGCCCAAATTGTATTTGTTCAAAAAAACCCTTCCTGGGCCGCCCCGCGGAACGGCTGTCGTGGCTGGTCGGGAGTGGGTGAAGGTGCGCTCTACGGTCCGCACTGGCACCTGGTCGGCGTGGGGTCTCACCAGCTTTCGTCGTTTGGGGGTGAGGGGTTCAGGGATTTGGGGATTTAGGGGTTCAGGGTTTGGGTTTTGGGGGTTTGGGGCTTGGGGGTTTAGCGCTTTAATATGTGTGTATATATATATATATATATACATAAGGGTTTACAAGCTAATACGGGTATAGTGGCTTGGGGTTTAAGGGCGCGTGCCTTTAAGGTGCTTATGAGACTGTCTAGGGCTTTTAACGCGCATTGTCTCAACTACAGGGCCACGCAGGGATCTGCAGGGTGTTCTAAGACGCAAACGTGTGGGGTTTAGGGTTGGGGATGTCCTGCAAAACCTCGAAATCCGAACCTCCTTCAGAATCCTTACAAGGCAGGGGCTTGAAATGGGAACAAGGCTTTGAGCATAATGTCATTCAGTCATTCAAGCATGTTGTATCACTATAAGACTCAGGGAGAGAAGCAGATGCACATCCGCAAGTATTAGAATGTATCCCGAATAGGGAACCTGTCACTATAGGATGTTGACTCCCTTGTACATCCCATACCAAAGCCTCTGAGATCATCAAAGCGGAGGAGCTTTCAATTATCCTCGGTGGGGGATCTGAGGATCCCGCCGGCATCTCTGTGGGAGAAGGGCGCTCGGTGGGAACTGGAAGCTCACTAGGCGACTGCGTTGCGGCCTCGGTCACGGTTTGGGTTCTCTTGAAATTGAAGTCAAAACCCGTTTTCTCGGGCTCGTTTAGGGTCCTTATGAGGGTTGCAAGTCTTTTGGGTCCCTGAGAGAGTTCAAGCAGGGCTTTTCCCGTTTCACGTAGGCAGACTAGTAGAGAGGCATGTCCTGGAGTTTTGCAGGCATTTTGATGCACATAAAGGGCCTTGCATGGTCTGATTCTCTATTGCTACAGCGTCATCTGGCTAGTTCTAAAGTCTGTAGCCCTGCGCCCATCTGAAGAACACTTGCAAAGATGAAGCCCTTTGCAACGCATGCAATGCTGCCATTGCGGGGGCAATACTGCCGTTTCGTGTCCATGTGGACTCTCCGATGTAATTTCGCTCTTTGTTTTTAAGTTCGTGGGCTTCCTTACGATATGGTCCTCGCCGTGAAGCTGCCCTAAAACTCCGGGCGCCGGATTTATTCCGTAGGATTGAGGAGTGGAGGATTTCGTCCACCGTTCTTGCCTTTGCGCATGCCTTCGTGGACCTCAGCACGTGTCTTCAGAGAGGGGTCTTCCAGTGTCATGGCATATTCTCGTAAGTTGCAAAATGTTATATGATGTTCTAGAACATTGTGCACATTTCGGATGTCATAGCATTTGCTAGTAGTTGCTAGCCTGCCATAGTAAAATAGTATGCCGTCTCGACAAGAGCCAAGCGCAGTCACATGCCACAAAACCTCAAACGTCAGCATCGTCGTGTCCCATAAAGACCACTGGCTAAAAACAACCGCGTTCGTGAAGGCCGTATTACTAGACTAAAAAATTGGTTTTTCATCACGGGCCCCCTGAATGAAATCCTAAACCCTGACCCCTGGCCTTGTAGACGCCGCTCAAACCCTTATAAGACCCTTAAAGTTACATACAGGGAACTCTAAGGGCGAAGCCCTAAAGCCTATGAAACGCGGTTCAAGGCTTCAGGGCTGTAGGGTTAAACCCTGTAAAGCAAGTCCAACCGTAAACCCTGAGCCCTGAACCCCATGAAGCCCTGGAAGGCCGAACCCTGAAGCCGAAACCAGGTAATCTAGGGGCCTGAACAATCAGAATAGGGCTTTGGGGCCCATGATACTATAGTTGTAGTTATAATAAGGAACCCCCAAAATAGTATTGGTAGTTATTTAAGCCCCTAGATTAGATTTCGGAGCGACTGAGGTCTCGGACCGAGGACGACACGGCCGCCGCCGAGGAGTGCACCTGGAAGGTGGATGCCCGACTAGGGCCTCGTATGCTCATATACAATGTGACCATACATGGGAGTTTCGGAAGCTTACGGGTACCTTATTTTGGGGTCCTTATAATAAGCATCCTCCTATTTAGGGTACGATATTGGGGTCCCTCGTCTCCGCAAACTCCCAAATGTATGCATACATATGGATCGCTAACAGTTACATAGCTAGAGATATATTGTTAGGTAGGTAGGTAGGTAGGTAGATTAGATAGATAGATAGACAGATGGATGGATAGGATAAGGTGCCGGCCGCAAAGCGATTTTGCGGATGTTTTGAAGTCTTGTAGCATTCAAAAGAGTTTCCATTGAGTTCGATCACGGAGTTCCAGAAAGTTGGAAAATGGTATAAGGATGATAAGGGCTGGGATTCCCGCTCCTGTACCTTAAGCGCATGAGGAGCACCATGGTCCAACGTTCTGGCGTCTTCCGTAGGATTTCAGGGGCTGCGGTGGGAGATGTCAGGGATGTATCTCGGCTTTTACTGGAGACCGTTTATGCGAAGTACTAGAGTTGTCGAAACCAACAATAGCTGATTTGTGAGAACGGCAGCTACGGGGCCTTCGGGCCGAGGGTCCAGAGGATTCAAGTAGGGGATCAGGGTCCTACACCCCGAACCCTGAGCCTTACAAAATGGGTATGGGTTTTTTGTGGGTTGAGGGTTCATAGATTCGGAGCTAATGGGTTTAGATTTGGTGATGGGAGCGGGAGAAGGGTGGGGCTCAGGGATGCATGGTCGATGGTTTCGGGATGACGGTCAGAGTTATCAGGCTTGGGAACTACGATTGGAATTCACAGAGTAGACTTGAGAGTGTTAAGGGGTCAAGGGTTGTTAGGGCTACAGACGTTCAGAGTATCGTTGTTTCAGACGTAAGAATAACTCGGCCATCGTGACCAGCAAATTATGAAGGACTGACACTACATAGCCAAACTGCTACGTTGCAGGGCAGTAGAGCTGCATGAAACTAGTCTTACTATTGGCTATCGTACTGTCTGATGGCAAGGCCTAACCACAAAATTGGGAGATGCAGAGGTGCTACAATCTCCGTTCCGGGGTCCGAGAGTCTCCGCAACACTGCGCTTCCAAAAGTCGGGCTTCGGGAAACTTTGAGCCCTAAACTCCTAAACCCTTCACCCTTAGCCCGCTGCACAGCACGAAAGCTCCTTGTGTGGCATTGGCACTAATATAGGAGCCTGAATAATTAGAATAGCGTTATAAGGCCCACTACAACTATAAAAATAAACACCAAAAATCGTGTAGGTGATAATTAAGGCCCCTAAAGAAGACGCCCATCATATCCCTTTTAGTAATTAATCCTTATAGACCCCTTTAAAGGGAACCCTTAATGGAGGTAACGTTTAAAGCCCCGACAGTATAGACCCAACTCCATGGAGCCAAAGCAGCCCAGCCTGCGGGAAGCCGGGCGGCAAAGCCTTGGGGCTCGGCAAAGGTACCTCATGGGTTAAGGGTTAGGGTTTAGGGGTTTAGGGGTTTAGGGTCTTAGGGTTTTAGGGGTTTAGGGGTTTAGGGGTTTAGGGTTTTAGCGGTTTAGGGCTAGGGTTTAGGGGTTTAGGGGTTTAGGGTTTTAGGGTTTTAGCGGTTTAGGGTTTTAGGGGTTTAGGGGTTTAGGGGTTTAGGGGTTTAGGGTTTTAGGGGTTTAGGGGTTTAGGGCTTTAGGGGTTTAGGGGTTTAGGGGTTTAGGGTTTTAGGGTTTTAGGGGTTTAGGGGTTTAGGGCTTTAGGGCTTTAGGGTTTAGGGGTTTAGGGCTTTAGGGGTTTAGGGTTTTAGGGTTTTAGGGTTTTAGGGGTTTAGGGGTTTAGGGGTTTAGGGTTTTAGGGGTTTAGGGTTTTAGGGTTTTAGGGTTTAGGGAATAAGGGCTTGGGGTTTAGGACTAGGGTTTTAGGGCTTTAGGGGTTTAGGGGTTTAGGGTTTTAGGGTTTTAGGGGTTTAGGGGTTTAGGGGTTTAGGGTTTTAGGGTTTTAGGGGTTTAGGGGTTTAGGGGTTTAGGGGTTTAGGGGTTTAGGGTTTAGGGGATAAGGGCTTGGGGTTTAGGACTAGGGTTTAGGGGTTTAGGGGTTTAGGGTTTTAGGGTTTTAGGGGTTTAGGGGTTTAGGGTTTTAGGGCTTTAGGGGTTTAGGGGTTTAGGGTTTTAGGGCTTTAGGGGTTTAGGGGTTTAGGGGTTTAGGGTTTTAGGGTTTTAGGGTTTAGGGGATAAGGGCTTGGGGTTTAGGACTAGGGTTTAGGGCTTTAGGGGTTTAGGGGTTTAGGGTTTAGGGGCTCAGACTTCCACCAGTGGTTGCTTGGCGCTCTGCGGTTTGAGCTAGTTTGAATCCTAACCCCGAACCAAGTTCCTCACGCAGAAGCTGCACACGTAAGACGTTCATAGTTCAGCGTCGGAAATGTGCGAAACTGTGGTTTCAGCCCATTTTCGTGGAACTCTTCCCTGCCCTGGAGCAAATAGCACCACAAACAATCTGAATAAATGGCCCCGAGCCCCCCCTTCCGCCTGTTCCCGCCCCCGGCTTTAGCCTAAACCGTTTAAACCCAAGCCCGCCTCAGGTTGCATGCCGCGCTCCGTGGGGGAAGGCAGCTCCGTCGGGACCGGCAGACCCATCTCCTGTCTTGTTAAATGATTCAGTTTAAGTTACCATGTTTAATAAACCATATCACTTACTATACATCCCCATTATGGTAACTTACATTAAATTCCTAAACAAGAACCCAGTCTCCTGTCTCCCGTTCTGTTCTGAGAGTAGAGGGCTTAAGGCACAAGTATCGTAGGGGTGGCGGTGTTTGTCAACAAGATGCCTTAAATCTAGGGCTTACGTTTTCTATAGTTGTAGTGATTGGCTTGCTATATTTGTTGATTCGGCTTTCTTGGTTGTATCTAAAGCCGTCTAAGGCATTTTGTCAAATTTCAACTGCTTGGCTGATGCTGTGTCAGCAGGATTGTGATAGCGTCTGCTCGCTCCTACACGCCGAAGCCGATGTCCTTTAGGAGGCCACAATATGAAGCCGAAAGATTAAACTCAAACTGGAGGTTTACGAGGTTTGTGAAAGATACAAGGAAAATCCCACCGAGCATGCTACGACCGCATATTGAGGCCCCATCGTACAACGGCCTCATGAAACAGTAGAACACCCTCCAAAACCCTATTAGCAACCCCATGTTAACTCACTGTCACAATTTTTTGGAGTGTTGGAAGCTCACCGCTTCTTAGTGTGTAAAATTCCCAACTTTCCGGACCTGTGCGGTGCAGGCATTCCGAATGGCTCCGGGAAAAGGACCGTTTTAGGGTGTAGGATTTAAGGTTCAGGGATTAGGGTTTACGTTAGAGAAGCAACCACAAAAGAACTATAAACAGCACCTGCAGCTAAGTTTCGCCCGTCGACACGCGAGCTACAGTGGCTGCGTTAGTCTTGAGGGTTCCGCTGGCCAGCAACGATAAGGACAACGTAGTCGACGAGTCTACTCATCTTAGCAATGAAGCTTGAAAGGGCAGTGATTTTTGCCAATAAATGACCATGGCAGTACTATGGGTGCATCGTATGAAAGCTTCTATAAGGGACTCTACCAGGATAAGAGTCGCGGGCCCGGAGACAAATGTGTCGGGCGAGCCGTGGGTGAGCGGACCCCACCGTGTCGACGGAGAGACCTGCAAGAAAAAAGGACCTTATGCGACATAAGCCTCTAAAAAACTTCGAAGTTACACAGGTAAACTTTAGAAGGGATATTTAACGAGGGGCTTTGAGCTTGGGTTTAGGGCTTAAGGGCTTAAGGGGCTTAATACTTCAGGAGGGCAGAATGCCTAGGGCGGAATAAGGTGCGTGAGTGACGAAGCGAAAGGCTTAATATCTTGGAGCCTCAGCTTCGGACGTTGCGCTTCTTTGCGGTCGTATGAAGTTTCGTAGGGTGGTACAAAGGTCCAGTGGGAAGACTACTGCAGGGCTAGGCTGGCTAGGCCCACAGGCTCAAAAACCTAAACCCTGAAGCCAGAACCCCGAAAACCCTGAACCCTTAACAAGCATGATCCAGCCTTGCACGCACTCAAGCTCAAAGCCCCGCAAATAACAAAACAAAAAAAAAACGGCTCCCAAACCCGACAATGCTGAAAACCACCTGAACCGTCAATCGAAAACACAAGAGGAGGTCTCCATCTGCAAACCCGAAAGCCCTAAAGGGTTTAGGGTTTATTTATAGGCCTTATAGGGTCTGTAGGGCACATAGGATTTATAGGGTTCGGGACCCCAAAGCAGGAAACTCCCCTGAGCAACTTTCAAGGCTATTTAATGCTTTTGGCATCCCCCTCTTACAGCTTGGAGTTGACAACTATAGTAAGGAACACTGATGAATTACTAAGCATTCAGGCAGCCATATGACACCTTAAACCCTAAATCTGAAACTCCAAACCTTCGCCGTTCCGAACAGTGACCTTAAGCCTTAATCTCACAAAGCCCTGAATACGTTTCGGGTCTAGATCTAGGTATGGTGTTTAAGCCAGCCATATCGTTGGGAACGGTTTGTAACATGTGTTGGGGGCCATGTGTTGGGGGCATGGGTGTCTGGACTTTCGGGGTGTGTGCCTACTTAGTCCAGGATGGACCTGTGTTGCACACTGCAATTTTACGTCGTGGGGTTGAGGGTTCAAGGGTCAGGGTTGAGGGTGCACATCTTTCTGTCCGATTCTTCAAGCACAGCATTGGGATGTTTGATGTCTGCCTGGCGCATTTAAGATTTTAGACGAGCGGGGGCACTATCAGTCTCTGCTGTAACTGGGCAAATTCCAGTCCGTCATGCCGTGTAGGGCTTAGGGTTGATGAAGCTCAGGGCCCCTCCGACTTGCCCAAGCCCCAAAAACCTGAAGACTTTAGGGTTTAGGATTTTGGGTTTAGGGCTTGTGGGTTAGGGTTGAGGATTTCAGGATTGAGGGTTTGTGGAGTTTAGGGTTCATAGTTTAGGGGGTCTGGGGGCGTGCTGAATCAACTGAAGCCCTAAACCCCAAGTAGCCCAAACCGTCAGCGAAAGTAACAAGCGTGTGTGGGCTTCCGCCTTGGCCCAGCTGGCGCCTCCGGCTGGGGTTTAGGGTTCTGGGTAATGTAGGGGTCTTGAGATGTCGAACAGATTTGCATGGTAATTATGATGTCTGAATATATATGGGGACTCCCAATGGGGACCATTAAGGTATCGAATGTCATTCCGACCCCTGTATATCTCCGTGGGGCTTCTGCCTTGTTGGATGGGGCTTAGGCAGGAATGTCCGGGCGAAGCCTCGCACCATTTAGCTTCCGTCGTTTCAACTACCTGGGACATGGCAGGAAACCCGCATACCCCAAAGCCTCTTAAGCCCAGACCCTCCAGAAAACAAGCCCTAAACCCTAAACCCCAAACGCTTGCGAGGGCGCAATGCCAGAAAACAAGAGAACATACTTGCGAGAAAGCAGTGCTCGGGGTCTCAAACCATCCAAGAAGGAGATACCCCAAACCCTAAACCAAAGGTTGAAGACAGCATCTAAATCTTCATTTGCTACAGAAATCCAAGGGAGACTTGAGACGAAGACGGAACCAGCGAGGCCTCCAAGAAAAGCCGAGTAAACGCTAAGACCCCAGGAACCTCAAACGGGACCTGTGCCTGCTGCAACCCCACTCAGGTTTCATCAATCCACACCTCGCTAAACCCTAAACCGAACCCCTAACTCCTGAAGCCTCAACCGCCCCACCCACCCCGATGACATCTGGCCTAAATCCCGAAACCCCCAGACATCTTGGGTAAATCCCGAACCCCCAAACCTTAAGCATAGGTTTAGGAGTTAAGGCTTCTGGGTTTTGGGATTTGTGGCTTCAGGAGTTTAGGCTTGGGAGATGGGTGACGCTTGGGTCTTCAGGTTGAAAAATCGGTGGATTTCGAGTTCCTTTCTGGTTTTGGCGCAATACGGATAGGATTTCGGGAACTCAATCCTGGAGACGTTTGCCTTTTCTCCACCGGACTGTAAGCAAAGGACCAGATTGCAAGAGGCCCTGTCAGGCCGTTCAATTTCAAAACAATAGCAGAAACCCAAACACCCAACAAGTGTTATAAAACACATCCAACTCAACTAACCCCCAAAGCCGCATATCTAAAACCTGCCCCCTAAGTAAATCAGGGGCCTTAGCATGCAGGGTTAAAAAGTACTGAAGCTATAGTTATCCGTCAGGCTTAATGTTGTTATCCTAATTGAAGAGCTTGCAATGTCCCTGAGCTTCTAAGTAAACCTAGCTCTTAACCCCTAAACCCTCGCAGGAATCATTATCAACCGTGCTTCGGCCTCTCCATCAGGCACAGGCAACTCCTCAGCCACTTGCTGCTTGTAAGGGTTTCGCAAGAGCTTTCTGGGGTTCAAGAGGATGATCCCGAAAGGAAATCCGGGAGGTTAGGGTCTAGTTGTGCCTACATCCTAGGCTTCCCCCGAGCGAGCTCAATACCAATACCCCTTAACTATGGAATATTCCTTAGGGTCAGTACCCTGACGGCTGCTGCATTGTAGCAAGTACACGGCACGACTTTGGAAAGCCGCTGTACTGGGAATGCTGAACATGGTTAGCCCAAGAAAACCTGCGTTTGCGGAACCAGAAACCAAACAAGGAATATAGCAAGCGCAAACACAATGTCCCATGTGAGGAGAGTGCCATACAAAGCTCATGGTTGGGTCCCTGGGGTTCCCCGGTATATGGGAGTTTCCGAAAATAGGGGTACCTTATTTGGGGGTCCTTATAATAAGGATCCTACTATTTAGGGTACTATATTGGGGTCCCGTATTTTCGGAAGCTCCCATATTTCGGTCAGGACAGTTTAGAGCTTCTGCGCTGTAGCCTTGGAGAGTTAGGTCTCTATACTGTAATTGATCAGACCCTTATTGTGGTTTAGGGTTCAGGGTCTAGGGACTTATACAACCCTCCTGAAACAGTTTAAAGGTCCCAATACCATGCATTTCACAAAAGACCCTAGGCCCAAAGCCTAAACCCTAATTATCCGTAATTGTAAGTTCTGCCTCAGGCACGGCCTGGGCTGGGGCAAAAAAAGGGGCGACCTCAACAGCCAAGAATGATTCAAAAGAATCTGAAGCCTTTGCAAGCGCGCTCGGTGGTGTAGGGTGTTGCTGTAGGGGCCTTAATCATCAGAATAGGGTTTTAAGGCCCATTATACGATAGTTATAATTGGGAACCCCCAAAAATAGCATAGGTAAAGGTTTTTGGCACCTATATTACGCGTTTCATATGTTCAGATGGGCTCCGTAGACGGTCTCACGCATCCTTAAAATGACCTAGGCCACGGACAGGTAGTAAGTCACGGGGCTTCCCGTCTATGGTAAGCTACCTTCAGCAACTCTACAAGAAAGTCCCAAATCAGCAATCCGCACCGAGCCAAAAATGCTTGAGTGCTTCTGGGGCCGTGGGGTGGCGCCTCATCGCATAATTTTGGGTCCACAGAAACCCTTCTAAGGAACAACGGGATCCTTCCGCTTGTTATGCTTCAGTCTTAGAAGACTCCAAATTAAAAGCGTGTTTGAGAAATACTGGGCGACCTAGCACTGAGGGTCTGCATAATCTCTTGACCCACTCGACTCAGGTCGTGGCAGATGGCGACGCCACCTCCGACCTTGGTAGGCGATTTGCCCTAAACCCTAAACCCCACAGCCGTAAACTTTGGAAACCTTACACCCCAGACTTGCCGGAGTTCTTCAGGGCGGCAAGGCTCAAGAATTGGGTGGCTGACATGCAGGATGTTAGTGCAAAGCTTAGACCGGGCGGTTGTTGGAAGTCTTTTAAACGATGTGTGCGTGTGTGTGTATATATGTAGATATACATAAACATATATATATATATATATACACCCACACAACTAAAATATCTTTTGTTCCTGCGAAGACCTACGCTATATATACTATACTCAGGTCACCATATGCCAAAACTGCCCGGCAACGCTAGGGTAAAACTACTCTACACTTTCCTCCAAGTTGAGCGTAAACCCTGTCAGACCCACGCACAACCCCACAACAGTCTCAACCCCGTTCGAAAACACACACATGACGCCTCATTAATCCCGTGATCTAACTTAGGGACCCCATAAGGCCCTAAACCCCAAACCCCAAGATGGTAATGAGATCTCTGGCATTTCACGGGCCCTGGCGTGGACATCGGGGCGGACTCGGGCATGGGCGGCGGGAAATCTGCATCTGCAGGCCTCGGTCCCGAACACACAAAAACACCACCCCCCCCCCAAAAAAAAAAAAAAACTGTTTTCAGAAACAGTTTTGGGTGATATTCAAGCAGTTCAATGAACGAGGAGATAAAAGGTTCTTTCTCAGGGAATTTACAAGGGTGTAGGGCCGAGGACGTGCAATTTCTTCTAGCCCCTTCTTCCGTCAGCTCATTCCTTTTCACCTGGCTTAATATAGGTAGGGACCTTAACAATTAGAATATCGGTTCTGGGGTACACTACCGTACAAGCCCTAACTATATGGGAATTGCAGGGCTATGACGAAGTACTCCGACCTCTTTAACTAGTAACTCAGAAGAATTTCAACAAAAACAGTCAACGAATGACAAATTCTGTTATGTTTATATAGAAAAGGTGATAAGCTTCTGTAGACCCTTTCAGACCCTGACACCTTACATTACGGTTATGGGGCCGGAATTCAAGCCAGGGCTGATGGGTAGGGACCCGGGGGCTTCGGGGTTTTGCGGTGACCAGTTTTGGGCTTTAGGCTTTAAGGTTTAGGGGTTTAGGGTATAGGGTTTAGGGTATAGGGTTGAGGGTATAGGGTTGAGGGTATAGGGTTTAGGGATTTCGGGTTTAGGGATTTAGGCTTTAGGGCTTAGAGACTTGTTATTTAGGGCTTAGGGTATAGGGTCTAGGGTCTCGGGATGAGGGATTAGGGTTTTAGGCTTAGGGTTTACGGATTTATGCTTTAGGGTTCAGAGATTAGTCATGTAGAGTTTAGTTTAGGGTGTAAGGTTTCGGGTTTAGCCTTGCATATGAGGGCCATGCGCTTGGTAGCAGCAGCGAAGAGCCTAGCCTGACTTTCTGCAGTGTATTCACCTGCATCATCGTTAGGCTGGCAAAGCTTAATGTGCGTGGCAGCTTGAAAGTCTATGGCGAGCTCCAGCCACGAGATGCTATGCTGGCCCGCATCCTGTGGCCATTTAAGGGCCCGGAAGTACCAAACAAGCGCAGGGAAGAGTTGTAGGTCAAACGTCCACTCAGCGTTGCCTGCAAAGCGCCGCCAATTGGCGGGGATGCTGCCACGAAAAATTGTCTCAGTAACAGTGTTGTCAATTTCATAACTCCAAGGATAGGAGGGAAAAAGTCTTGGGCCTTCCGCATTGGCGGGGTTGGCATGTACATGCCCAGGCAGCGAACTGGAGCTAGGTTCTGTAGGTGCATTGGCTCCGGCTTCGCCAGCTTGAAGCTTGGTTTAAGGCTTGGCCTCTGGGGCTCAGCGTTTACGAATTTAAGGATACATGTTCATGACCTCCGTCAAATGCAAATGTCGCGGCAAAATTCTGAACAAATGACCCGCTTTGTGGCAGTCTTGCTCGTAACTCTGTTTCAGCAACCAAGAAACCCTGATGCCAAACTGTGGGTTCACCTTCGAAGGCTTAGGGTCGTGGGTTTCAGGATCTAGATTACCCGATTTAAAACTCTGTTGCGGAAGGTCTTAACTTCGTGGGGGCACCCTCCACAGTAGGCTGCGGTCGGCCAGGCAAGGCGTAAACTAAGCCCTAAACCTTTAACACTATTCTCTAAACAACCGTAAAGCCAAATTACCACTCTCAGTTCCCCTGCGCTTGTTCCAGAAGTGCCGTTGGTGCCGTAGGCGGAGGCGCTGTAGTTGCCAGGCCCTGGCTATGAGTGACTTCCCGTGGTAAGATCCCTCAACATGTCCTCTTGGTTAAAGGCATATTGAAATTGTTGCAAGCCGGACTAGGTTCTTTAGGGTCTGCAGAATAAGGATTCTAGGCTACAAGCTTTATGGTCCGTATTTACAGAAACTAACATCGCAGTATACGGTTTCAGGCTTTGGGGTGATGGAGTTTCAGGAGGTGGGGATTTTGGATCTTCGGGCGCTTCTGAAAGCAGGCGTGTTAGGCTCAAGGATTATCATGGATTGGGGTTAGCATAGCATAGCCCCACTGCCACTGCTGCAAGGTATCCATTAAAGGCACCTCGATAATTTCAGTAAGGCAGAGGTTGAGGATTGAGGGCCGGTTTGGACTTCAAGGGTTCATGGCCTAGCGGATCCTAATCGAAATTCAGGTCTTGCCGCTTAGCTCCCTCAACGAGTACCCCAATGTCTTGAACCCGTACGTAAACCCTGAAAGCCTAACCCGACGCCCTCGAACCATCAATCCGAATCCCCCAAGCCCTACAACAATCCACAAGGTCAAGGTATTAAGATGGAAGCCTGAATGACTAGACCTGCATTCTAAGGGGCAGTGTTACTGCTTGTTCAGGGACTTCTGCTGCCTCGGAATACAAAGAAAGTTTTGCCCCGAACGGCAATATGCTATGCTAGTAGAGGGTAGTTGGAGGGAGTCAAGCTCTACCTAAACCCTACAACCCTCCAATTCAATAGAAAAGACGTAACCCTTCAACCCTCAACACGCCCTACTCCATACTGTCGTTCTTACGACCTTCATGGGTTTTTCGGCTGTTTGGAAAATACCCCTACAACCCAGATCAGTAAGGTCAACGCAGTCCTTATCTAGCGAGCCCTGAAGGAAGCATCACACTTACCTCCACCGAAAATCGACCCAGAACAGGGAAAAAGGCCCTTGAGCCATTAAGCATCCAAACATGATCACAAAACGCTTAAAAGAGCCCTCAAGAACACTCTAAAACCCTGAACCTTCTAGCCCTGAAATAGCACGCAGACGCCTCGATGCTGGGCGCGGGCTCAGATACCGCAGACCTTGCGCTGGGTTTAGGGTTCAGGATTTAGCGGTTTTATGGGTTTAGGGTTTAGGGCAGTAGGACTCAGGGTTTCAGAAGTGTGTTCGTTCTTCGGGCTTCAGCCTATAGGAAGTGTGGCTTTCGTGTTTTTTTCGACAGGGTGGCGGGGATGCTACTGGCAGATTTTCCGACCCCTCTAGTGTGACATTCCAAGAAATTGCCTACAATGTACGGAGACAGGCCCACTCACAACGCAGCAAGCCTCCAAGTCCCAAATCCTGAAGCGCCCGATGCTAAACCCCAAGCTCTAAACCCCAAAAACCAAGCCCAAGCCTGCAACTCTACATCCCAACCCCATGGGGGCTCTGATCGGCTAAGGTTCGAGTGTAGATTAGACTATGTTTTTCTGATTGCTGCAGGGCTAGACTTTCATCTTACTATTCAGACAGCGGGGAGTTCTAAACCCTAAACCCTACAAACCCCAAACTCTAAACCCCCGAATAAACTCAGGGTTCGAAGTTTGGGGTTAATGGAGACCCGAATCCATGCGAGCGCCGGGCGTCGGGGAAGGCAGCTCTGTGGGGACCTGGGCTAAGTGTTTTTTTCTCAGGGAAGGTTTAGGGTCTAGGGCTATATACTGGATTTAGGGTTTAAGGTCTATGGATTTTAGGACAATGTACTGGGAGATCTCGGGCCAAACCTGTGTTCAGTGCTTGTTGCATGGGTAATGATGGTCTTTACAGGGACCTGGGTTCATAATTTGGATGTAGGTGAGAAGATTGAAAGCTCTGATATAGGTTCCACCATAATTACAATAGGGCTAGGGTCTTGGGGTATATCATACTAGAATCAGAAAAAAGGAACCCCCAAAATAGTATTGGCAACTTTTTAGGCCCCTACATGATGGTGCAGGCCTGAGCATCAACGCAACCTCTCAATACCTGCGCCCTGGGCATGGGTGCTGTTCTATAAAGCAAAACCTACAGCCGAAAAGGCCGAAACCCTGGAGCACTAAAGCACTAATCCTCGTGGTATGTATTACGTTAGCCTCCCGAAAAGGATCCCTAAACCCTTAGAGAATACCAGCGGAGACCACATGCGAGGGAACAGTATCTACAAGGATCCCTAAACCCTTAGAGAATCTAAAAAAATATCGGGGAAGACTTCCGAGGCGGGGGGTTCGGCAAAGGGAGGTTTGGGCGTAGGGGTTTCGGGGTTTGGGGGGGGGTTGGGGGGTTTAAGCGTTTAGGGTCTAGGGTTTAAGGGTTGTGGGGGGGGGAGGGGGAGGTTACGGTTCAGAAAGGTTTTCAAAAGGGTGCTCTATGTTGTCACTGGAGGCTGAGGGTGAAGGTTTTGTGGTTCAGGGATTGGGCTCCACAAGACGTTTCGATCTGGAAAAGATTTTTAGACCTGGAGGGCCTAGGGTTTAGGGTATACGTGTCGAGGTGTTTTTCGTATAGACGTTTACGGGTCCGGAGGTGTTGGATTTAGGGCTCGACGGGCTTAGTTTCCGGGATGTGGGCTTTGGGGCTTCGGGCATTGAAGCTGAGGACTATGTTCTATCGATGATGAAAGCTTGCGCTTCCTTGGAAAGATGCCTTACTAAGCCTAAGCTTGAAAAATGCTAGGAAGAATAAGCCGACGGAAGTTCACAAAAGATTCTGGGTCGCAGGCGCTCTGTTCAGAAAACCTCGTAGACTCCACAAACACCCCAGGCCCTAAAACCCTCAGATAGCCCTAAACCTAAACCTAAACCCCTAAACCCCAAACCCGAAACCCTAGAATGCCCTAAAAGCCAGAAAAAACCAAGCACCTGAGCTTTTCAAGCCCCAACACTGAACCGCTAAACCCCTCCACGAAAGAACTCTACACCCCTAAACCCAAACCCCCAGTAACCTCTGAACACTAGAACCCCACCCTCGACCCCTAAAGCCCAAACCGCTAAAGCGCAAATCTACGAAGCTGCCGCCGAAGTTGGAGTACCGGGTCCTCCGGCTGGCATGTCGGTCGGCGATGGGAGGGCCGCTGCAGAGCTAGACCTCCGGCGGCTTCGGATCGTGGTTTAGGCATTTGGCTTTCGGGTTTAGGATTAAGGGCTTAGGGCTAGGCGGGTTAGGCTTTAGAGTTCAAGCCTTCAGGCACCTGAAAGGACATAGTAGAGACCAGTTTATAGTCACCTTACATAGGGCTGTAAGTATAGCCAGTGTTACATTGCGTATAACGCATCCCCCTACTGGCTAAATCCACGCATTGTCGATTTAGAGGTCCGGGTGTTGGATTTGGGTTTACCGTTTAGGGTCCGGGGATTGGGTTCCAGCGATTAGGGTCCGGGAGCCTTATGCATTCACAGCTTAAGGCTTCTGGTTTCGAGTTTTAGGGAGTTTGACTCGTGGGGTTCAGGGTACAAGCTTTGAGGTCTCGGGTTGAGGGGGGGGGGTTTCAGGGGTTGGGTTTAAGGGTCGGACTTAGGGCCCGGGCTTTAGGTTCAAGGTTTGCGGACTCAGAACAGGGAGTTGGATCTACGGGCTCTGGGCTTAAAGTTTGAGATGTTGGAGATTTAGCGGTTCTAGGTTGAAGGCTTCAGGTTTCGGGGCTTAAAATTTTAAGGTCTTCGGGGCGTAGAGATTTAGGCCTGGCGGCTTAGGGCTGAAGGCTTAAGGTTTCGGGCGGAGGGTTTTTAGGGAGTTGGGCTAAGCTCTCAGACTGGCTTTCAAGCTCCGGCCGGATCGCAAAGGCGAAAGAAGTGTCTGCCACAAAAGGTTGCAGAGTAAGGACTGGTGATTGGAACCGATTTTTTTGATTTTTTTGTTCCAACCATGTCGCACTCGCGTGTGCCGGGCCAGTTCCAGGAGAAGGCACGACCATGTGCAACTGATCAAGTGAGAGCAACTGATCAAGTGACTGTTGCTGGATGGCAGCGGAGATGGGAAGCGCAGTGACTTGATGGACCCGCAACAGTCAGGGTCCTTCTGACGTCCAGGCTCAACAGAAGCACTTTAACAACTGAGGGTCTAGCCTAAGCCCCAGCCCCCGAACCCTACACTGACCTGCACTAAACTCTTGGCTGCAGGGCTCTGATTTGCATAAGATATCTTCTACTTGAGTTTAGCCAGAACTACATTGGAAAGCCGAAAACCCTCGTGCTCAAAATCTCTGTGTCGCTGCTGGCCTGGGGAACTACATCTTACGTTTCGATCAAGGGCTCAAGGTTGACCTCTCAGATTTCAGGGTTCAGGGATTAGGGTGCTTTCCCGACATGGCTCAAGGTCACGCACTCGAAGTAACGCCTCAAGCTCGAAACCATGAAACCTTGAACCTGAATCCCCAAGACCTTGAAAAGTAATTGTCCCACAGCTAGAGGCAGTGAAACTCTACAAAAGCGATTAGGGTGGAGAGTGGGGGTTTTGAGGCTGAAACATCGGGTCTGTTGCATGCGAAAGCTCAGCATTCCGTCACCAAGCCCTAAACCGTAAAGCCTAAACCCTACAGCAAACCTTAAACTTAAACCCTAAACCCTATAAAAGCTCTAAGCCCTAAACCCTAAACCGTGAGGCCTAAGCCCTCAGCCCTCGCAACCTAACATACTCCTCGTAGCAACCCCCACAAGCCCGAGCCTGGTTCAGGGAGGTCCAAGGTTAAGAGGTTTATCATTAAAGCAACAAAAGCTGAACCCCAAACCGAACCCAAAGCCGCAACCTCAATATCCAAAACCCAAAACCTCCGAATCTGCACCCCAAAACCCAAGAAACTAGCGCCCCATCCTCTAAACTTGGGCAGTCTTCCCTTCCTAAACCCATGACTGCGAGCTGTAGCCGCTGAAAGTGAAATCCTAACAGCCTAAAATCCTGCAGAATGTCGTCCACGTAGTATTGTCTCGTTAATGCTGCTTAGATTACTCTCCGTGTAAAGTAGTCTTAGTCTCGTTATTTTTGCTTCTAGCATCATCACTATTGCCGCATTACTACGATGTCATGTTTCTGTCTTCGCGCTTACTTGCTTGGTTTTCTTGGAGGTTTCCTATTCAGATCTTCGAGCTATGGGTGCCGTAACGGCCAAACCAGTCAGGTCGTAGCATTTAGGGCCTGGCGGTTGGGGTTGAGCTTGGGGTTGAGGGTTGAAGGTTTCGGGTTAAGGGCTTGGCACACCTAAGCTTGAAGGTTTGGGGTTTACGGTTTAGGGTTTGGGGTGCTTTAGGATTGCCCCTCTATTCTTCAGATTTGTCCTGTTGCTTTGTTGCTGTTTGTGTTCTGCTTCATGGGATGCTAGCCGGCGTGGCCTTGATGGTTTGGGGTTCGGGATGTCGGGTTTAGAGTTTACGGTTGCACGTAACTATCTGTAGCTAGAACTACTTGTTAACTCTACATACCAACCAGCCGCGAACCTTTGAAGTAGGGCTTTAAAGGCTTAGGGTTGTAGGCTTCTGCGCTGAGTGTAAAGATCGGGGCTTTAAGCCCTCGACCCGAGCACCCTCGAACCCTCCACTCTGAACTCTATGACAATTAACTCCATGACAATGAACCTTCAAGCCCAAACTCTCCAGTAGCTCTAGTAGTCTCAAACCGACATCCTCATAACCCACATGGCTGCTGAACCCACGTTGTTATGGCTCCCACCTACTATCCTTGATGCTTCCAAGCCCAGACCATACCACCACAAAAAAATCAACAAAAAAATCAACCCTCAACCCTGAACTCAGAATTGGCCTTACTAGCCGCCATCCCGAACTATCTCCAACTGTAGCTCCTTTGGGGTTCCTGAATCTGCAAGCCCTCAACCTGAAAACTAAACCCTAAACAATAAAATCCCCAAAGCCCTACAGTAAAGCGCTAAACAACCTGAAGTTTAAACCCCCTTAAGGCATAAACCCTAAAACCCTAAAACCCTGAACCCTAGTTCCTGAAGTTCCTGAATTTGCAAGACCTACTGAGGCACTTGCAAGTACGCGCTCTCCTGGGCAGCAGGTGGCACCTGATGTGGATCAGTAGTTGGAGTAAAATATAGAAATTAATGAGGTTTTCGATGTAAGAAACTCCACAGCTTTTATGTGGTTTAAAAAAGGTCGCGTAAGGGCGAGTGGGCTGTCCTGGGCATATCTTCTGGATTTGACGTTAGTGATGAAGTGTTATTTGGGGAGTCGTCTTACAAGAATCTTCAATCTGAGATTGCTGCGGCTTGGAAGGTTACCCATCTCATTATTCATCCTGTTTTCCCAGGCACTTGGTCTCGGAAGGGAAGCCCTTCACACAAGTTCTGCCCCATGGTAGGAGTCTGCTTTACCAACTGTTCAGGCAGCCCAGGGATAGCATCATGGATTCAGGCTTCAAGGTGCACGCTTCGAGAGAGGTTCATTCAAAGTAGAAGCGTTTAGGGCGTATGGTCCTTGTCATTGCCTTAGCTCGGAGTGTCGCCTCATGCGAAACTTCTGCAAGCGTCCAATTAAGTGATTCCCAAAATCTTCGACGACTCCTTTGGGATGGGGATGGGTAGGGTCAACAAAGGGCCCAAGCCAACTAGAGCCGGGCCTTTAGGGGCCAGGGCTTCGGGGGCTTCGTGTTCAAGGGTTTAGGATATGGGTGGTTGTCAAAATTAGGGTCCCTTATTGGGTGCCTAATATAATACGGCACCTAATATTTAAGGTGCCCAAAAAGGGGCCATGATTTTGACAGCCACCCATATGAGAGTTCGGGGTTTAGGGTTCAGGGGAGGGCTCTGAGACATGCTGTATCATAGTCTGGTGTCTCAGTATCTAGAGCTTTGCGCAATGAAGACATGCACAGCGAACGTGGACAGAAGCAAGATCCCTGGAAACCTATGCACCAAAGGATACCCGACAACGAACATGTAGACGATAAATCCGGCACTGTCGCAACGGGGATCATGCCTCCTGACAAAGCACCAATGGGACCGTCGCAGCATCTGAATTGGCACATTTGTTTTGAATACAAGCCTAAGACTCAAACTATAAGATTGCAGTGTGTCGGGCCAAAGTACAAGGACTAAATGTCAGGACACTCGGCCCCTGCAATCCCCAAGCCTTGAAGCCTAACCCTAAACCATCACCGTCAAGCGCTAACCGCTGAGCCCTAAACCCCCAAACTCGGAAGCCCTAACCCTAAACCTATTGCCCTAAACTCTGCAACCTCAAAGCGTAAACCTTGCAACAGCCGTTCTTGTAACCTCCAAATTAGCCCTGTGGCACCCCTGACAGCCGGAAACCTGAATAGGGTTTGGGGGTATACTATACGATTACTACATAAAGGAACCCCTAAAATTCTATTCTAATTACTAAAGCCCTTACATTAAACTTCCTGGTCCGGGTGTCCCGACCGAAGCCGTCTCCTCCTCTCCGAACATCGCACTTCTTGAACCCTGGGCTGGGTGGGCTTCTAGGCCTTGTGGTGGTTTTTTGGGGACAGAGGGTTTAGCATTTGGGAGTTTCCAAAAATGGGGGACCCTGATATAGTACCCTAAATAGTAGGATCCTTATTAAAAGGACCCCAAAATAAGGTACCCCAATTTTCGGAAACTCCCATGTCTGTGTTTTGGAAACGAAGAGCTGGCGCACAGTAGTGAGGACCGGATTTAAGCTCCAGGGTGATCCAACAACCTCCGGACCCCAGGCTCCAAGCTCCAAACTACCTTGAACAGGGGCCTTATTTTACCCTAGAACTACGTAGGGACTACAATGAGTACTGTTATTGAGGCCCTTTATTAGGATTTTCGGGGCCTCCATTCTAGAATGATACCACAAAGCCCAGGTACAATATCACTAGTGGTACGGACATCTATGTAGCGAACCAGGCGACCATCAACACTGACGTCTGCTAACCCCTAGAAACCCGAGACTCGGCTATGGGTTTTAAGGGTGTAGGGGTTTAGGGTTTTAGGGTTTAGAGGTTTAGAGGCTTAGAGGTTTAGGGGTTTAGGGTTTTAGGGTTTAGGTTTCAGGTTGAGGGGCTTTCGGGCTTCAGGGGCTGTCTGCATACGATCAGTTTTAGGGTTTACAGGGCTTAAGGTCGATATACGCCCTCATTAAGCAAGCAAGGACCCTAACTTGGGCGGCTCCTTTGAATCGTGCTAGCGTTCAAGATGTTTGCTTTGAGATGCAATATTGAGAAGAGGTGCGGTTGTTTTTTCCTTGTAGGGGAAAACGTTGCCTGGAAGGAATGTTAAGCTTGAACGGTGTTGCACGTGCCCAAGTATGATACTCCTCTTGGAAGCAAGCAAAAATTCATCAGAAATTCGGAGACCGCCCCTCATAGAACACGAGCAGAACCACAAACACCCAGCAAAGTCAAGGTTAAGTGTATTGTGTGCATTTAGGCTTCGACTCGGGCCTAGACAGAAACAGCCTGCTTGCTTTTTGCCATGAACGGTTCAAAGCCGACTCAGGCCAGGAGCATGGTTTAAGTTTAAGGGCACAGCATGATAACTTAACCAAATGATTCAATGCCAAGAACCCACAAAGTGGCCCAGTTCTTACCAGGCAAAAGCCGTAAACGCCCACACAACCAGTAGAATCCAGTGGCTATTGCAGGCCCTTTCGGAAACGTATGACGGGTGCTCGTTTTGAAGAATAGGCCTACACGCAAAATCCTACGAAAGGCCAGGCCTTCGACCCCCAAAAAATCCGGAACCCCAGGACCTAAAACACTACACCCGGCATAACCACCACAAACACAACAACTGAAGCTACAGCCCCCAACCCAACAAGCTTACCCCAAGCTCGAGCGCGCCAAGGGCCGGACTCTGGGCGCTACCAATGTCTGGGTCGGCCTGGGCAGACCCAGGGCCCCCACGGTTTAGGGTTTTGGGTTTTGGGTTTTGGGTTTAAGGTTTTGGGCTTAGGGGTCAAGGTTTAGGGTTTAGGGATCGGGCTATCTGGGGTGGTTTTTAGACGGGCTTTCAACTCTGCCATCGGGTGCTTGGCTGAAGATGAATTTAAACCTGACTCGCCAAATCCGAAAGCCTAAAACCTAAGCGTAATGTTCCCATCACCCCCCAATGAACTATGCTACCATGAGCCTCCCAATCACAAAATCAAACTAAAAGCGAAACAAGAAAGCCAGAAAGGTAGGTCAAATCAAGCCCCCAACTAATTACCCTCCATGATACCCTAAGTACCCGCTACTACGGACCGTCAAGCCCCGGAAAATTCTACTCCAGTCACGACCATACTTAATAGACTGGTTTTTTGCAAACCCATGATACAAGGAGCAGAATCAACGAAAACAATACTAAGAAAAAAACAGCTTTCCTAGGTGGACTTAGGGCCGATTGGGTTTTTGGGGCGTCTAGCCGTGTCTACCCTGGGGGTTTCAGCCCCTACGAGTCAAGATTTCGAGGCCAGTGTGTCACTCAGCGTCCCTAAATTCAAAAAGCCCTAGAAGCTCTAAACCTTAAACCCTAAATCTTAACCCCTCAGTATAGCGATGACGGGTTAAGCGAGACGGCGCGTACTTGCGTGAGCATTCAGGGCTCAAGCCTTTAAGACATCAGAACCAACTTTTCTGTCGGATCTCGAAAAGGTTCATCCTAAAAGGTAGTTGGCATTTTTACGACCCGTTTTCTTATTCCGTAGTTTCCGGGTTGTTCCATAAAGGCTGCATAGTTACTTGTGAAAATACGTCATAAGGAAATCCTATCGACATACCCCCCAAACCCGACGGCGTAATTCCACAAACCTTGCAACCCTGCGCCCTACGGACCGTCTTGTGAATTTGGGGCCGAAATTGAATCAATCGCACGATTCAGCTTGCACTGTGCGGAGTAGATTGTTGGGTTTAGGCGGCTTCTGTTTGTCCGTTGTTGAGTTTGTGACTCCGAAACCCTGAAGCCGAAACTTTCACGGGGTTCTGAGGCCCTGGCAAAGTCAGCAGGTTCCCAGTGACGGTGTCGGCCTCCTCCAGAAGCCCCCGTACCCCGAAACCAAAACAAGCTCTAAACTAAGGGATACTTACTGAGGTCCCAATAAAACATCTTCTTGTTCCGACCTATGAAATCATGGACTTAACAGGAACCCGAAAGTGCCTGTAAATTGGGGTCTCCATCAATTGGGGAGGTGCCGTCGTTTTACTCGTGCCAGCATGCTATGATTCACAGGTGAGGGCTTGGGGTCAGTACGCACATCAAACACTGCGTCGATCCACCTGCACAGGAGTGCTACACGCGCGTTTCTTTCTGAATCCGGATGTGGTCACGAGGTTTGCATGGCCGACTGTGTCCTTACCGCCCAGTGCTCCTTTTCTCCATGGTTCTTCGGTAGTGGTGCAAAAACACAACGGGCAATCTCATATAAAGGCCTTCGTGGTTAGCAAAATGTTTTGGGGATATCATAATTACAAGCAGGACCCTGCGGAAATGCGTATTGCTTCGAACCATCCGTTTGTGCCAACATCCACCAAATCACAAGTCGCGTTTTCAAATTTTACCTGTGCAAACGACCAGCCGCTTCCAAATAAACGATGCATGCTTAAGCAACGGAAGGATGTAAGGCTACTGTTGAAGCAATTGCTCGTCATACTTGCCTTTCTTTGCACTGCGCATGCTAACGTCGCTGACAGATCCCGGGACCGAGTGTTCGTAGTATGATGTAAGCATCTGGGCGAAGGTGCCCGTTTGCACAGGCGTGCGATGAGATCCTCGGACCATCTTAAAGGGGCGCTGCGAGTGTGTGAGTGGCTTAGAAGTTCAGCGCATGGCCCATGCTGAAGCCTGAAGCTTTGGGAGCTGCACACCTGAATGTGTTCAATTGCCATCTGGAGCCACAGATGCTGATACCCGCGGAGCGTAGACGAAGAGCCCCTGAAGCACTCAAACCTTCGAACCCTAAATCTAAAACTTTAAAGCCTGAAACCCTCAACTCTCAACCCGCAAATTCTCAAATCTCTATCCTCGTCCCTCCTTGTGTATAGTACACGAAGCAAACAAGAACGGCCCGCTTTAGGCGAGAGGAAGGCAGAAAGGAGTCGCTGTGCCCAGACCAGAAAACACAGAGCGCTGAACCCCGAACCCCAAACCTCAAAGGACCATGTGCGAACCCGAATCCTGGGCAAGTGCACCCATGAATTCGTATTCTTATGGGCTACGGTTTAATGAGTTTTGTGTTTAGGATTTGGGATTTAGGCTTAGGGTGAAGGCCGGCACAGGTTTTATAGCTCAGTATCACACAATACGAGCAACAACACCTGAGACTCTTCGAACAAACTTCAGCACTCGCCCGTCAGTGGAAGGAAGTTGCTAAGGGGGCGTTCGCGATCACGGCGCGGTGTGCCGGGGCTCGTGGGGTTTCAGGGCCGGCATCCGAGACCCCAGTCTCCTGTAGTGACCTTAATACTTTGTGTGGGTTATTGGGTGCATATTGTGCAATACTCGAGTTGGGGCGAGTATTGCTAACCATTCAGGCCCCAATCTTGAACCCATCAACCACAGAACCCAAAACCCCCTAAACCCCAATCCCTACACCCCATCAACCCGAAGTTCCCCAACCTCAAACCCTAAACCTCAAGATCCCTAAAGCTCTGCGTACCCAACGGCCACCCGTAACCTTCAATCCTTCAACTCAGAACCCAAACCCACATTCAAACACTGAGCCCTAAACTCCCAAACCGTCTGAGCCTTAAAACTCGCAAGCCCGAAAGCAGAAAATCAATATAAAAACAAACACAAAACAACCCCTGCAGAATCCTCATTCACAGATCCTTTGGAAAACCCTATAAACCCGAACAATCCTTCTAGAAATACCTCTACAACCATGAACACCTTCAATACTCAAAGCCTAAATCACCGACCTCATCCTCGTCTGCCCCGAGCGAAGTCGGTGAAGGCACTTCTGTGGGCACGGGCATAGCCTCGGGAAGGTTTAGAGTCGTTCTAAAGGTTCTGATTGGGCTCTCAGACGGCTTCTTTGCTTCTATCGTTGGTTCTTTCAAGGGTTCGTTCAGAGGTTCCTTCCGGGTTTCTATTCGCGCTTACGGTTTGGAGAGGTTCTTCCGGGCAAGCTTCATATCAGGCTTCTGTAACGGGCTGTAGCGGGGCTTAGGGTGCAGGGCGGAGGACTGTAAGATTTGAAGTTGAAACTTCTGCTATGATTTGGAATGAGTTTAGAGGATTCTGGTGATTGCATATGAGGGTATTGAGACATACTAGTGACATTAGTGACTGTTTGTGCACGCTTGGGGATCATACCAACCAACAAGGCGAGTGAGCCTGCTTGTTGCTACTGCTCGCCGAAGTTTCGAGTCTTGCTGTGAAGAGTAGCGCCCTCGTCGAAAAGGTAAGGTTTCTGCGTATTACGGATCATGTGGCTTTAGGCTGTGAAGATTTTGGACGCGGATCAGCCGCCACCCCCACAACAACCACCATCACCACCATCGTCAACACCGCCAACAGCAACAGAGATGATGGTGACGATCGTAATGGCCGCAGGGCTTGTGGGAAGCCTCTGCTGCAAAGAGGTTGAAAAAGCTTTGAACCCTAAGCCCCGAGCCTTCAAGAGTGAGCCATAGAACCCTAGTTTGGGGGGGCTCTCACAGTTGGTAATAGGGTTTGGGGGCATGTTAAACCATACTTCAATTAACGAAACTGCAGGCAAGTACTACTCATTATCTAGGCCCCCATGTTTTTGTGTACCATACTTAATTAACAAAATTGCAAGGAAGTACTACTCACTATTTGGGCCCCTATGTTTGAACCTCTGACAATGATAATTAACAAGGAACCCCCCAAAACCCCATTCTAATCATTACGGCGCCTACATTACAATGATAATGAACCTCATATGGCTCTGACCCGGGGCGGCTGCTGGCAGGTCAGTGGGTGTGCGCTCAGGGGCGGATTCCGACCTCGAAAAGGAAGAGACGCTTTGCGAGGGCACGAGGAGCCCTAGACCCTAAACCCTCAGCTTTCGGGCTTACGATTTGGGAGTTTGGGAGTTTTCCGAAACTTAGGGGTACCTTATTTAGGGTTCCTTATAATAAGGATCCTACTATTTAGGGCACAAAATTAGGGTCCCCTATTCTCGGAAACTCCCATTTAGGGAGTACAGGTCTGAAGTGCCACAAGGGCTCCTAGACAAGAGGCGCAAAGTGCGTAAGGCTTCGGGCTGAAGCGAATGTAGGGGTCATTCTTAATTCGAAGAGGGTTGTGGGGGACATTATACTACAGTTTTATAATGTTATGATTATAATAAGGTACCCCCAAAACCCTGTAGTCAGTATCAAGGCCCCTACATTACCATGATAATTAACAAAAAAACAAAAACCCCGTTCTCATTATCAAGGCACCTACATTGAAATGATAATTAACGAGGAGCCCACCAAAAAAACCACTCTAATCATTACGGCCCCTACATAACAATGGTAATTAACAAGGAACCCCATGCTAATTATTAAGGCCCCTACATTACAGTGCCGAGGCTTCAGGCAGCTGCTTTCTCGTGCGAGTAAGGAGTCACGGGTGCAAGGCTCGAAACAGAGTAGTAGTAAATTGTAATAAGTAGTAGTAGTAGTAGTAGTAGTAGTAGTAGTAGTAGTAGTAGTAGTAGTAGTAGTAGTAGTAGTAGTAGTAGTAAGTAGTAAAACCCTGAGGCTGTCATTCTGACTTAAGCGGGAGTCTCAGAAAAGACAAGCCTCCCAATAAAGACAGAATAGGTTTGAGGCCGAAAACTTGCCCATGCGTTTTCGCTGTTTTGCCTTCGTTCATGAAAACCACAGCAACAGACTGCACTCAATGACAATAGCCCAAACCCAAAAAAGCAAACAAACCAAGACCAGAAGAACAAAAAACAACAGTACTAACAAAACCAAGAAAACCAAACCATAAAACCAAAAAAAAAAAATACACACATATATATATATATATATAAATATATATATATATATATATATTCAGAAAGTCTTGGTGCATAGTCCTGGGTAATAACATTCCAGAAGACTTTCAGAAAATTGATTGTGTTTGTTTTTTTGGTTTTTTGGGTTTTGTCTTTTTTTGGTTTTGTTTTTTTTGGTTTTGGTTTTTTGGTTTTATGGTTTTGGTTTCTACCACAAACCATGGCTATTGTAAGCCGTGTTGCCCTGCAGGGTTGTGGCCGTGTCAAAGCGCGAAATAGCAAAACAAATCTTGCCATGGCGAGTTTTGTGAACGAGGAGGGCACTAATGCCGTATTCAATTTGTGATTCGTGGCGTTCCGTACTCAAGCCTAGTTCTATTTTCCGGTCACTCATATCTGCATAGCAGTCGCGATTCATGACGAGCTTCCGGTGGCCTCCCCAATACCTATTAAATTATCTTGGTTGGAAAGGACTGTAGTGATAAAGAATGAAACTAACGTGCAACCTCTAACCAACTGAACTAGTATTTTTCCAACCACTACATTGAGGGATCTCCTGAGTCTTGTACTCTACTAGGCTTAAACATTAAAAAAAAAACAAGATGTAATGGTGTGAACCTTCACATAATATCACTAGAACACAACTACCATGAACAACTTAGATAACTTAATTTGTATTAACTACTACACACAGCTAACCTAAACCATTCATGCCAATACCTATAGCTGTTCATCTAGTGTTAGTAAGTCATTTTAACACTGCACCTGACAATACATATAATAGTCCTAATAGAGTAGCATTGGTTGTACTAACAATAAGACATAATGCAAAAGTGCAACAATACAATAAGAGTCATGAATATCTATAACAATAGCACTGATTGCCAAGTATAAAACCGGTTGAACCACTTATTGTGAACGGACTATATGAAAGATACAGTGTAACAGATAGCAATAGTTGGGAAAATAGTATCAGTAGACATTCACTGCTTGTCCAGATATGTAGAATACCAACCAAATGGTCTTAACGAACTAGTTGGCATTGAAATAAAACCAATGTATTAATCTGTAAAATAATAGCTCTTGTTTGAACCACCTATTGTGACTGACTATATGAAAGATATAATGTAACAGATAACATTAGTTGTGAAAATAGTATCAGTAGACATTCAGTACTTGTCCAGGTATGTAGAATACCAACTAAGTGATCTTAACGAACAAGTTAGTAATGAAAATACAACAAATGTATTAATCTGTAAAGTTATAGCTCTTGTATCACTGTTCCATACTAATTGTAAACAAATGATGTGCCCAAACTAATTTAGCCTAATAGACAAAAACAATTCATAGCCTCATAGCTGGGATTCTCCGATTACAGAGTTAAACTATTGATTACCAAATGCTGGAAGGATAAACTCCTGAATTCCCAAAGAAAAAAGTCAAATACTGATAGAACATAGCATCGCCTCCGAATATGAATCAAATGCAAATGTATTGAAGTGCATATCTGTTAATAGCCTTAAGTAGTAAAGCACCACACCTGTTAATATTGGTAGAACTATTAATACGATAGATGATGTAGTCCTAACTGATCTAGTTATATCGTGGTTATGTAGCTTAACATCAACCTAATGATTGACAAATAATGCAGAAATTATGATAGACTCCTGGATTCCCAAGAACCAAATCAAATATTGACAGAACATAGCATCACCTCCGAATACGAATAAAATGCAACTGTATTAAAGTGCATATCTGTTAGTAGCCTTAAGTAGTAAAGCACCGCACCTGTTAATATTGGTAGAACTATTAATATGATAGATGCTGTAGTCCTAACTGATCTAGCTATATCGTGGTTATGTAGCTTAACATCAACCTATTGACTTCACAATGAATTTTATAGGTGTGAATGCTGATGACAAGGCTATTATAGTTAAACTATAGACAGTATAAGACTAAGATTGATACCATAAGTTGCGAATGAGAACAGTGAAATCCTATATTGGTGGATATAGACTCCAATCTGTACCAGTATACGTCAGTAACCAATGTTAGTAATTCTGAGGGCACTGAACCCCCAATATTTTGATCGGCGAAACATCGCCACCGCTGCTTTCACCGAAATCGTGAAGCTTTCTCGGGTTGAGTGAGCGACACAGAACATGGGATCACATGTGTGCGCCCAAAAAAGAACTCTCTCTGCTGCTTCTCTGTGCACTTGAATATCACACATATATCGAAATAATGGGTTTCAACAAACAACTAAAAATATTATGTTGTGAGTGGTCAGGTGCTGGTGCGAAAATTTTCTGTTAAAAAAACCGATCTGTATCCGCTGCCTTGATATTTTGAAAGCAGTAAAACAGCAAAAACGCAGGGGACAGATTTCGGATACGGACCCGAGCTCTAAACTGGCCCTACACCAGAAACACCAAGTGCCTTCTCTTCAGACACTCCGGCCTGCCAAGTTCCCAGCACGGCCCTGAATCTCACAAGATGTAAGAGTCCAAAGGCTTAAGTTTATGGCTCAAAGTGTTAAGGCTGAGGGCTTAGGGTTTAGTGTCATTTCCAGGTTGCGTGTGCGGGCTCTGAGGACACCAGACTCCCGAAGCGCGAAGTCCAGAACATCAAAACCGACCTCATCTAGAGGCCTGAAAGATTAATAACAATAACGACAGTAGTAGTAATAATCATAATAATGGTAGTCATGATAGTATCAATAATGAGCTTACTGCTTACAATAAAACGAACTATTGCTTGAATGGCTCCTGGCCATGCATGCTGGAAGAAGGAGGAGCATGCATTTGTTTCTGTTGCCCGCCAAGAACACATGCACTGGTTCTGCTCCCCACAATCCACGACATTCCTGCGTGTTCAGTGTTAACTGAAGTCTCGCGTCCTATACGGCCATTCCGTAAACAAAACCGGACCGTTCGGACGTTCAGTTTCTTAGCCATGCTGGCACGATTTTCCGGCCTCACCTGCAGCAAGTTGTCATCAGAACCGAGGGCCCGGGTCGCCTCCGCATTGGTATCCATCCGCAAGCCGCGGGTACTGTACCCATGTTTAGCCCCTGGTCCCACTATCGCGAGCATAACCTCAAAGCTCGAACACACTCCACGAACCCAACACCTCCTTGAAGAAGGAGTACGATTAAGCCACAATGATAAGAAGCCTTGCAAGACTGCCGAAGTCTTCCTTAAGGACCCTGGCAAGCTCTATATAGCACTCAAAAAGTCCGATGTTTGAAAGATATTATTTGAGGGATGCTGGTCTTTCTGTGTAATACTGCGGCCTTGACAGAATCGGGCTTTGGGGCATGTTATACTATAGCAATATAAGAGACTGTAAGGCAATGCTACTAATAGTTTTTCGAACCCGGCAATACTGACATTCACGGAGCTGTGTCTCTGGCAACAGGGCACTGGCATCCACGGCCGCCGCGCTGTACATTGCCGGCACCTGCGCTCGCAACAGTCAGGGTTTAGGCTTTGGGGTTGAGGGTTTGAAGTTTTCCGGGTTCTTGAGCTTTAACGCTTCAGGAATACTCCTAAGGCCTACACCTACACCCCGAGACCGTCAAATTCTGAAGAACCCATAGCCCGGAAAGCCTATAAGTAGGATTTTCTGCCCAAAGAAAGCCGTAAAGCCCAAAAGCCTGAAAGTCCCGCCAGCCGGCCTCAAGATCACCCACCTCCTGCTCTGGAGATTCCTGGCATGTCAGCTGTTTTTTCGTTACGGTTGAGGGTTTCTCTAGGTTTGACACTGGAGGGTCGGTTTTTGCGTATTGAGCTGAGTCAGCTGTACAATGCTCCATGGGCATTTCCAGCTTGGCATCGCCATCCAAGAGGCTGCCACAGCAAGATTATCGTCCTCACATTTCTACCTCACCTTCTTCCTCCCCGGTCCATAAGCCTCAGCATCACCACCTCGTAGAAGCAGGAGTCGTGAACAAATACCAACAATGAGGGTGAGGAAACGTGTAACACTGCGGTCACTACACTCCTCCCCATCGTGCCTCATCATCAACATCATCATCATCATCATCATCATCATCCGCATCATCATCATGCTCAGCATCCTCAGTATCCTCTTCTTTGTCGCTATCGTCACTATCGCCAGGTTTCCCTTCACTGAGCACAACAATAGCAGCAATGCAACTGCAGCAACGACAGCAGCAGCAGCCACAACAAGAACAAGATAAGGATCAAGAACAAGACCAACAACCACCAAAGAACAAGAAACAACCACCCGTGAACCCTACAAACCCTTTGAAATCCATAGACACTGCATAGGGGCCCCTGTGCCAAAAGGTTGACGTTACCTTTATCACAGCAAGGCTTCTGGTTTCGGCTTTTGAAGCTCCAACATCCCTGAATGGTGGCACCTTACTGAGGCGCACGACCGCAATATCGGGGTTTCCGAAAATAGGGGACCCTGATATAATACCTTAAACAGTAGAACAGTTATAAGGACCCCAACATAAGGTACCCCTAATTTTCGGAAACTCCCATACAGGGGCCTGAAGAAACACTTCTAGATTTTCTGGCTGAAATACAGCCGCCTGAATACTTCGAGAAAGGTTTTGGAGTGCCTTGATTGTTTTACTAGCCCTGAAACGCAAAATTGCTGAAAAGCTGAACCCTAAATACATTGGGGAACGTTGAGGAAAATAATTGCAAATTGTTCAGGCCCCTAAGCTAAGACCCTTTAAACTCCCACACCCCGCCAACTACCTTTATGAGGGACAAGCAAAGGAAAACACAATCAGGCGCCCCATAAAAATTGGCTTTGTAGACTTCAGGTCAACGCTAAGACAGTAAGGCCTTCGTACTTTAACTTTCTTATCCGCTTAGAGAGGTAGCTCTGTGAGGCACCCGGGACCCCTTAGTTCCAAGCTTGAGGCTGATCCACAACGTAGGAGGTAAGGGTTTAGGGTGTGGGGTGTAAGGCTGAGGTTCTCTGAGAGGGCGTTGATGATTAGAACGGGATTCATTGAAGGGTTCCTTTAGGGCTTGTTCCTTTCGGTGGATTACTGAAGGGGCCTGGATAACTTGAAGCGGGTTTCGGTACGTCGTAGCGTAATCATACAGTGACTATAACGGGATGCAAGTGGTGTCACTGCTTCCTCCAAACGAACCTGGCCGTCACCTTTTCTCAAATTTACATTCTTTTCCAATGTCTGGGTCACATGCGCTGAAGCCCTGAACCCCAAGCTCTTGACCCAACCTTCAAAGCCCCAAGCCCTGAAGCCTCAAAGTCTGCCAGCCTAAGCTTAAAGCCTTAAACCTAAAGCCCAAAACCATCAAAACCCCTTGAGCCTCAAATTCTGCAATCTACGCCGAAAACTTAAAACCCAAACCGACGCCGGAACATCCGTCAAGCGCGACAGGCCAGCCACCGGCGAGGTCACGACGAAAGGTTCTGTCGCAGGGGCAGGGACGAGGTGGCAGACTCATGACTTCGAAAACGATTTCAGGCTTTTACTGAAACTTTTGAATTACGGATACTGCCACTTAGAATCTATATCGCGATCTATTGAGGTTCAGTTTTCGTCAAAACCAATCGTGGCGGTGTGTGTGTAATCTTGCCTTGGGTCTCGGACTAGGTTTCGAGCTTGCAGCTTGGCATGTGTCTCATGCTTGTCCTCTCCGACTGACTCGAAGCCCAAAACACATCTCCAGCGCCTACCGACTCAAAACCACACGCGTTGAATCCATAACCAAGCAATCCTAAACAACTAAACCCGAAACTCACAGCCAAACCCATGAAGGCCATGGCGAACACTGTTTGATTGTACGAACAGGCCCGCGCCCTTCTCCGATAATCATTTAACAAACTTTAGAGAGCCAGAAGACTCAGAACCAGAGCTTCAAGGCCTGAACCTTGGATCCCAAATTCATAAGTTCGCACTCAACCTCAACCAACCAGCACCTGCTCCTTCGTAAGACCCGTGCAAAGTCTATAGTACGGCTTGCAAGGGACCCTGCCAAGAGCTCTATTTATAGACGGTTACTGCAAGCCGCACTGTCGGGTGTTTAGGGCCTAGGGTTTGAGGCCTAGGGGAGTGCCTCCCAGTAGTTAGAGGGATCTTGCACTGATCGGGACTTCTGTTGCGGTGTTGGGACTTCGAGTTGGGGATCGAAGAGCCTTGCAAGCCACGCTGCAGGGATTCTGTTGGGTCTTGGTTGAAGGGAAAAGCACAACATCTAAACACCATAGAACCCAAGCATCAGAAACCTAAAACCATAGCAGATACTTAAAGCCCCTTGGAGCTTTGGGCGCAGGGGAGGGGCTCGAGCCGGTTGAATCTAGTGCCGCCGTGAGCTCTGGAGCTCTAAACCCCAAAACCTAAACTCTACACAGACCTCAAATCCGAAGCCGTAAAGCTGGAGCCTCAAATCCTGGCACCCTAATCCCCCCCAAACCGCAGCCCAAAACCTTGAACACAAACCCTAAACCTTTGCTAAACCTCAAACCCGTGTCCTGGTGGCTCTTGGGCAGCGTCCGGCAGAGGCCCCACGATCGCCTGGCGACCCGGTTCTTTTGCAAGTGCAAAGGCTTAGTTTCGGATTTAGGATTTAGGGGCAGGATTTTGTGCAGTTAGGGTTTAATGTGCTAAAGGGCTTCGCTTTCGGGTCTAGAAAGTCTAGGTTTGAAGCTCAGGGCGTCCATTCTGGATTACCGTCCTTTCCAATCGACCATCTAGCGTTTTATCACATGTTAGGGGAGGTGATGGCTACGTATATGGCATGGCCACACTAAGGGCTACAGAACACTTTGGTGAGGCCCTCAAACCCTCAACCCTGCTTAAAGTATCACGGGACTTCGGAAGTAGGGTTGAAGGTAACGCAAGTATAGTTATACGAATGCGAAGCACAATCGATTTACTTACATTCTGACTCAGCAGTTATGCTTGAGTGCTCAAGCAGAAAAGTAACAGAAACCAAGCCCCTGGATCCCTCAATGCATAGACTGCTACCACTGCTGACATAGCCCTGAAGCCCCAGATTTGACCAGGCTCTTAATGTAGAATGCAAGCCCTGGCTAGCTAAACCCTCCTTCATGCACGGCCGTTATGTTGGGATCCCTATTGTAATCCTTGTTTAAGGAAGGTGTCCATTAACCAGGAGGTTGCCTTAAATGATAAACTGGCTCCCACGGCACTCCACCCTCAAAGCAAAACACGAAATCACGACCAAAACACGACAGCACTCAGAGCTTGGAAAGGATTTCTGGGATCCAGTTGCGGGACCTTAGAGGTTTAAGTCGAAGGCTAGTGCTTTTTAGGGCGTTGGCCGGGCTTTAGGATTTTGAGGTTTTTGGGTTTAGCGATTTGGTAAGGTTTAAATTAAAGTCCAGGGTTTAGAATCCTAGCTGCTTTATGAGCCTCCTCTTCGTCGTCGCAAGCGCCTCCCATGGAGGTGGGCGAGGGCCTCACCGCTGTTGTTGTGCCATTGGAGTGCAAATAGCAGAAACGCAATGCCCCTGACAGTACTAGTTTCCAAAAACGGCTGGTGTGGGAAGCCCCAGTATTCCTGACTGAGAGGCTGTTACCGTTACTGCACAGGGGGGTGGACTCCTGGAGAAACCCGTCTGTTTGCTAAATTCCTCACTTGTACTGCCTAAATTCAAAAGCCTGAATCACTTAGAAGGGGCCCCCACCCTCTAATAGTGGTATAATAGGAATATAATAGGGCCCTGATATAATCCTTATAGTAACTATTACAGGGTGTGGGCAGCTTCAAATGAATCACGAACGTACACACCGAAGCCCTGCTCGAATTCTTTCGGCCACGGATTTAGGGACTCGAGCATGTAGGGTCGAGGCATGGGGTGCGGGGAGTAGATGCTCCACAGAAACTACTAGCCCTAATAAGGGGTACAGCCACCTTAACCCCCAGATCTAAACCCTAGTCAAAACACGAATGTGAGCTCGTGATTACTCATCCCTCCTCAATAGAGCTAAACTTGGCCGCGCACACAATAGTGGCCACGCCCCCCGCAATAGAGCTAAACTCGGCGTGCACGTAATAATAAACTCTGAGCAATAGTGATAAATTGCCGTCCGGTTGTTGATTTTTAAGCTTTTGGGAAAGAGACGCTCCTCTGTACATGACCTTTCTTGCACCTAGATGATATTGCATGTCCCAACATTCTGCTACTAGCAACAGAGGAAGCCCCTTCCCAGAGAAGACAACGCCCTCCAAATCGGGAACTCCTCTGAATTTCTGATCTTGCTCCTACTTCTACTTCTACGAGGAGTGGCTACGACCACGGTTATTAAAGCTGGAAACAGCGCCCGCAGTCAAAGGCAAGCAAAAAAGCGGCCTCGCAGTAGGAACAGGAACGTCCGCCGGCGACGACCTCGGCATGGCCGCATGTAAAACTGCCACAGCGAACCACCGTACAGCACCTGCAGTGCGCCTATGTGTCTATTTGGGGCTGCATGGTGTAGGATGATCAGGATTAAGGGGCATTCAGCTGTTGGGATTGCAGCTCAAAATCCGAGACCGGAAGGGCCTGCCCATGTGCGCTGAGCTAGATATGCGATGCTTTTTGCAAGCCAAGTAGTGCCAATGGACGAAAAGGCCGGCACTAAGTTACGCGAGCTGGAAGGCATCCCGAGGAGTAGTTGTCAGTGCATGGTACAGTATAGGGTGGGCACTTTAACTTTCGGACATACCAGACTCCAGTGTTCCAAAATTGGAAAAAACTCTTCAACTGTACTCGGGAACCGTTTGTGGGGCCCGTCTTCCAGGGATACTCAGCCCTATCAACCCTCAGAAAGCCCCAGCCCTAAATGGAGCCCGCAATCAAGATCCGGATTAGCATGTAGGGTAGTTCTCAGACTTAAATCAAACAAACCCAAGACCCCCAGCTCAACCAAAATGCCTTTCCCCTTGCTTACCAAGTCGCCTGGTGCTCAAAGTGTTCCCTTGCCCAGGCCCCAAACCCGAATTCCAAAAAAAATGACACAGCTAAGTCCCCTGACCCATTGAGTACCCCGAGACTTCAAAACCACTCACTTGAGACATACACCTTGAGCTCTATTTAGTTCGAAGCATCCTTGCCATCGTTTAAAACGTATACTCCCTAATTCCTGGGACTCTGGAGTCTCCGGGTACCGCACAGGACCACGGTACTGCCGTGCCGGGAGGTCACCGTCCGCTCTGCAGAAAGCGTCGGCGCCTTGTTTCAGTGAGCTGGCCGCCAGCCCCAGAAGATGGGGGGTTTAGGGTTTTAGAGTTTAGGGTTTAGAGTATACTACTACTAATACTACTACTAATACTACTACTAATGCTACTACTATTACTACTACTAATGCTACTAAGCCCCAAAAGACTGGGGGTTTAGGGTTTTAGGGGTTTTAGAGTTTGGGGTTTTAGGGCCTTAGGGTTTTGGGTTTTAGGGTTTGGGGTTTTAGGGTTTGGGGTTTTAGGGTTTAGGGTTTAAGGGTTTAAGCGTTTCGGGTTTAGGAATTCGGGCATCCTACACCAGTTACAGTTAAAGATGAGGTTTGTTGAAAACGTCAGTCTATTGCAGTTGGGGATTCTACAGGGCCCTTGCAGGTAGCAGCGGCTCCTTCAATCGTGGATATTCTTGAGCTTGCTTAGTCTCGTCGGATTCCTGGATGGGCTTCGGGGCTGACGCAAGCAGGCCAGTAGAGAAACCACGAATGGGGAGCTCTCTACCCGTAGGGCCTGACACCCGCAAGACAGGGTTGTTAGCCGTGTCCCTCAACCCTAAGCCCGTACTTGTAGTGGCTTCGGGCTCTTGGGGAACAGCGCACAGCCCAGACGGGTCAGCGATGTCAGCCTGGACAGAGATGAGACGGCTCAAACCTTTACTTTTCTCAGCAAGAGTGGCTTGAACGAACAAGACCCGCTTCTGCAGGGTCTCCTTTTCCACCTTGATCTGAGCTTCTGGACGATGCAATCCACATTTTCGGGGCAAGTCTTGTTGAATGTCCCATCCACGTTTTCAGTTCGGATCTTGTTGGCAATCGCGGCATCCCGAACCCCATCGGGCCTTTCCGTGAAACTTTCGCGCAATGCAAACACGCAGAAGAATGCCTATGATGAAAGCTCATACCATGGGTCCGTAGATCCCGCAGACCCCTATACCAATGCATAACTCAAGTCGCCACAAGAAGCCCTAATAAGAAGTTCAGCGAGATTCCGACACTGAGAGCTATTGGGCTCTCTACTGCGAATCAACCTTTGCGAGCAATGCTCTACTTGAAAGGAAGCTCGCATCAAGAACAAGACTACAAGCCTTTCAGATGATGCAGGCCATCATATCCTAAAATTATGAACCAGGTGCCCCACTAATCCAAAGTTTACGCTCTCTTCCATACACCACCCAACTCCGTTTGACACCCCCAAATACCTTGCCTGAACACCATTTCGTAGAGCTAAATCTTAGTTTTAAGACTTAGTGCGTATGTTTCGGGATCGATGACCGGTACTCGGTAGAAAAGCTTGCCAGGGGCGCAAGCTTGCAACCATGTACCCACAATGCCAACCCAAAGATCAGGTCCCCTAGACCTTACGGCCTATGCATTACAAAGCCCAAACCCCAGACCCATAAACCCGAAACCACGCTGCCCTAAATCCTTTTGAGATTACCACCCCCAAAGACCTGAGCTCGCTACCTCTAGGGCTCTCACGGGTGAAGGTTTCACGGCTTAGGACTTCGGGGTTGAAGACTTTTCGGTTCTGGCTTACTGTAGGGTTTTCTGATCACTACTACTTACCAGTAACGCCTTTGGGGCTCCCATCTAGGGGTCGGACAGGCCGAGGACCAGTCCCAGCTCTAGTAATTCGTCACCTTCAGAATTACGACTCTCAAAATGATCCATGGTTTGGAGAATCCCCAAAATCGCGCAGCAGTTGGAGTAGAAGCCACCGAAAACCAATGTACAACAAACATGTCTATGCTGCTGTGATTTTGCAATAAAGAGCCGGATAACAATGGCTGAACCCTGAGCCGGCAGGGCAGTCACCGAGCTCGCCACCGTTAGCGCTGGTGCGGTCACTGTCTCACCTGTCAGTCGATACATGGCTTGCGGTTGTATGATTCTCGCTGGCGGTCATTGCCTTCTGACTTCCCATGTTGATGCGCGGTGTTCTTGTGTATGTTTGCCTACCGTGCAAGAAGCTTCCAAGTATGTGAGACTTACGGCATGCACGACTCACGTGACCTGGTGCTGTTCCTCCGCACGGGTACACATCCACAGCCTGGACTAGATTCAACTTCATAGACCATCCATAGGATGCCATACGGCAGCGACGAGCATGCTCCGGCTCCGGCATTAGACTAAGGCTTTGGGGTGCTTAGAACCTCCATAGCAAGCCCCATCTACTAAGGAAAGGTGGATGTTCTAGGGTACGGGCAGTAGAGCCTGGGGGCAAAATTTGGAATTACACGTAGACCTCTGATCAATAAAATCCCACCCTGGATTGCACTTTAAAAGGATTCCTGATTCCTGAGGGCCTGTTAAAAGCCTCGGGCTTTGTCATCAAA